TGAGTTTGATGTGCTAACAAGTTAAACTTGAGCTAGCCATGACTCAACTAATCAGCACATTAGCTAGCTTATTTTAAAAATATGCTTAGAATATATCAAAATTCAATGATTTAAGTGCAAGATTTTTAAACATTTAAAATTTATACTTTACTCCATTATACCATTTAATTTTATGTTATTTATTGCCTATTTATTCTTATTTTTTATTGCAAAAATAAGTTAATCAAATTTATTTTATCTTTCATAATAGATGACCATACTCATGAGCCGACTAAACTCCTAAAATAGAGCTCAATCTTGAACTCGATTAATTAATCAAGCTCAATTTTACACCTCTAATACCCTCTATAGTAGGGCTATCAAAACCGGGTCACGGGTCGGGTTCGGGTCCAACCCGAAAGTGACCCGACACTATTCAACCTGACCCGAACCCGACCCGTTTTTGCAAACGGGTCGGTTTTCCGAACCCGAACCCGACCCGCTTCGGGTCCGGGTCAACCGGAACCCAACCCGATTCGGGTATATTTTATTAAAATTTTTTAGTTAATTCAATTTATTTAAATCTAAATCAAATTAAGGTAAGATTTACTTCAATTAATTTAAAATAAACCAAGATTAATTTAATTTGAGCACTAATGTTTATAATTTTTTGAAATATCATTTACTTATTTCATAAAAATCCATTAAAACCCTCCTTAATTAATAAAAAACGGGTCAAACCGGTTTGATTTCGGGTTTCCGGGTCAACCCGAACCCGATCCGGTTTTACAAACAGGTCAAAATCCATAACCCGAACCCGACCCGGTTCGGGTTTGGGTTGACCCGAATCCGAAATTTTCGGGTCGGATTCGGGTCGGATTTTCGAATCGGGTCAAATATTGACACCCCTACTCTATAGAAAGGCCACTTCCTTGGGAGTGAAAACTCAAGATAATATAAAACCTCTCCATTCAAGAAACTACTGATTTGAAAGCAACAAAGTAGGCCATTGGGGACCTCTCTTCAACAAAAGCTATTGTCCTTAAAGAGAGATGAGATACCCTATGGATCCTCCTCAGTGACTATGTTATATGGAATTAACCTTTCAAATGTTATAAAAATAGAAAAGAAAAGAAAAGATAAAGCTGGAGCAAATATCAGGCCTTCTGATCATCACTTATATAGGGTATCATAGTGAAAAGATAAAGAATAGGAGGCAAGAAAGTATAAAAATTACTTATATTTTGTTTTCATTATAATGTTTATTTCTCACCCAAAAAAAAAAAGTTAAAAAACTTCCCCTTTTTATCCTTTCTAAGTGATGGCTTTTGTCAAAGAAATTTTGAGCATAAAATTCATAACTTGGTTGAATCAGGGATTCAAATTTTCAAATCTTTCAAAGCAAATCAAAATAGCAGAAAATGTTCTTTATGAAGAGCAAAAGTTGTTTAACGAGTATATATTGGATAGTGGTTATACATATCATATTTATATATGTAGATAGAGATAAATGGCTTCGTTTGTTATAGTTTTCTTACTGTTTTCTAAAGCAATATTTTAAATGATGATAAAAAATTATCCCAAAGAAACTCTAAGGCTTCATTTGTAAAGGCTTTCTTACTGCTTTTTAAAGACGTTTTTTAGTATAAAACTTTAATTTTTTATTAGAAAGTTATTTTTAAAAGCATTAAAAAAGCTGTCCCAAATGAAACCCATGATATATAGTAAGAAGAGGGAAGAGAGAGTGAGAATGAAAGATTAATAAAGAGTGCTCAAAATATGTGTGATGGGACATCACCTTTGATGCTTCATATATGTCTCATATTATTTTACTATAATTAATAAAGAGAGTGCCACAATAGAGGCAAAATGGAGTCTAAATCATTGACATGGCAACCACATGTCGCATGGCATCCATCTAATGGCTCTAAAAACTTCTTTTTAACTTTGAATTAGAACGCAAAGCATTTTCCTTTATTTTAAAGTGAAGAGGAAACAACTTTAAGTGTATTTCATGTATATTTATAAGGACTTACACATTTGTATCATAAAATTCTTTCAATATTTATATTTCTTATACCTAAATCTTTAAATTTAATTATATAACACCCCAATTTTTTAATCATATCAAAACATATAGATCAAAAGTTATATTTTACTTTAGAAAATGTAATGTTAGTGATATTTTTTATGTTATTTGAAGATTATGTTTATATATATGTTAATATAAAGATTTTGGTGTTACATATATAAATACATAAGATTTCAACGATATATGTGTAAATCCCTGTACTTAATAATAGTGTTTAAGAACATGTATAATCTTGATACATTACTGAAAAATTCATCAATCTAGCACGAATCTTGATACAACATTTGAATTAAATTTGTAATCATTTAAACTCATTTAAAAAACTTATAGTAAAAATAATGCATCAGCGAGACAAGCCCAATAATAACAATAAAAAAAGAAGAGGGGACTTCTATAATTTAACTTTTATTATGAATTGTTTCATGCAAAAATTATTATGTTCCACTATCCCAAACGAGGTCTTTTCTTTGTCGTTGCTTTTTCTTTGTTTTCAAAGAAATTTTGTACTAAAAAATTGCTTTACAAAACAATAAGAAAATACCTCAAACGAAGCCTAAAATTACTGTTGTAGGAAGCAGAAACTAATCACATTGGTCTTTTGTTACCTTGCCAACAAGAAAACAATATATTGGATGCAAATGCACTTATAAAATTAACTAGTATAATTTTCATTTATATATAAAGCTATATATATTCACTAGAGAATATAAGCTAACCATTAATAATGCATGATTCAAATTTAAAATTAAACTTAAAACTTTTTTATTTAAGAAAAATAAATTGGTTATTTTAATTTTGGTAAGTTTAGGGGCTATTAAATTGTTTCATGACTTAGAAGTTGAGCTTAATGTAATTAAATTTACTCATTATTCATTTAATTGTAATGTTTCTTTTTTCCAAATTTATTTATTATTCAATTAATTAATTAAGCTTGAATTAAGATTTAAGTTCATTCATTTAGTTTATTTTTCATGTCATCTAAAATACTAATAATTTTATCAATTTATAGATTTTTTAAATAGTATAAATGCCCATATTTATAAAAATGATATATGGTCAAAAAATCTATTAACTCATATGAGAATCTTGACTTAATTTTTGAGTTAAAAACTTTTAGAATTAAATTGAAGACCAAATAATAACTGGTTTTAATAAATTAATAGTTTAAACGAATGTTTCGAAGATACAAATCTAAGTAAATCAAGAGTGTTGTGATTCAAATCCAAATGGTATCAAATCAAGCACTCAAAAGTAGACTAAAAAACTTTATGCCATCATTTGAGAGATCAAAGAATCTTCAAATCACATAAATATGCTGACGGTATCCGCTTGAATATTGTTACATGACTACCATCATATAACCACCATCCTCACTCAACTTTTGTTGTCTAGTTACTATCACTTGATTACTAACGCTCAATAAGAGTTGGCCAACCACTATTGCCACACCACCATCTCTTGGCTTTTGTCTCCCAATCGAAGTAGATACCAACATAAAGGCACATTGTTACCAACAAGGTTGATGCACTCCATCAAACACACAACATTAATGCAAGATATCACCATAAATATTGATTGTGTCACCGACACCATTGTTGACAATTAACCACCATCAACATCAACCACAATACACATCATTGTCAATAAGATAAATGAACGCTATTGTCACCAATAATAATGTTATCGCATTCCATTGCCACAAAGTCTACTGCAAGTTATTGCCAACAAAGTTAGTGTTGGTCTTTGAAACGAAGTCAAAGAAGGCCATTGCCAATAGGATTGATGCATGTCATCAACATCATCTCCATGCATGTCATAGCCGATAAGATTGATGCACGTCATTAACAACTGCCAACACACACCATGGTTAATTAATAAAATCGATGTACAGTCAACCCCAACATCAACGCACCTTACCACTAATAAAATTGATACATGTTATCGACATCAATCTCAACATACAACATCAACAACTAGGTCGCTGCATATCATTAATGCTAATGTAGATATATGTCATCACCAAAACAAAATTATTGTCTACCGTAAACATTAACCTTAACATCAATCATCACCACCAAGATCGATGCATGTCATCAATACCAATATCGATAAATAACATCATCAACAAGGCCAACTCTAATCATCGACATCAACATCTACTCTTTCCATAATTAATAAGGCAAAGCACATTATCGATGTTAATGTTGACAATATCATCAATAATGTCATCAAAGCACGGCATCATAAATAAAGTCAAAGCCTATTGTTAACACTAATATCAATATGTTTCACTATTAAAAGATCATTGCCTATCATCAACCATTAAACAACAATAAAACTTAAAAAATAAATTTCTAATGTAGCACATATTAGTCATTTTAAAATACTCTTAATTTTTTTCATTTAAAAAATTTGGCGGTCATAAATTTAATATTTTTATTTTAAAAAAATATTTAAATACAATGTAATACATAAAAATATTTTAATTTTTTGGAGAAACGCGTATCCCGCATATTCTCTCCAACCCAACCTTGATGTCAGTAATTATATCTGATGTTCAGGTATTTGCTCCCGTCTGTTCTAAGCAGAACCATCAAACGAGAAATTATTAGGTGCGGAGTGCGGACGGGAGAACCGTCCGCACACTAGTATAAAACCGCGCTCGGTACCGTTCGGTACCACTCGGTACCACTGGGTACCGCTCGGTACCACTCGGTACCGCTACCGCTCTGTACCCTGTGTCTGTGCGGACGGTTCTCACCCGATCTGCACTCCGCACCTAATAATTTTTCCCATCAAACAGCCCATAAAGGATTTTTTGAAGACGAACTCCAACGATAATTTATACCAAAACGGAACCATCTTTTTTTTTTTTTTTTTTTTTGCATTTTTAATTTTTCTTTGTCCCCATCGCACGCGTGCGTAGATAAACGTGCGTCCCCGTTCTCCCATCGGCTTCCGCAGAAAAGCAGTCACCTTGCACTTCTTCCCTCCAGTACCATTTCCCTCTCTCTCTCTCTCTCTCTCTCTCTGCTTCTCGCATGGCATCAGGACCAGAAGGCACGGAGCCGCTGAGCTACCAAGTATGTATCACCATGATCGATTTCTCTTCTCCATCTCATTCTTAGATTTCAAATTAATTTGATGGGTGTCTATTTCTTAATGCCGCAGACATCGGTATTAAAAGTTTCGATCCACTGCGAAGGATGCAAGAAGAAAGTGAGGAAAATCCTTCAGCGACTCGATGGTAACGAGCCCTAATCGTCGAAATCTGGTTTCAAGATCTTATTTTTTAATGCTCATTACGATTTAACTGGTTTTTCTTCGGTTGATTGATCTCAAAGTCCGAACTTTTTTTCCTTTTTTTTTTCTTGTTCGATCCGCAGGGGTTTATGACATAGACATCAATTCGAAGCAGAACAAGGTAACCGTAACTGGCAAAGTCGATGCCGAATCCCTAATCCGGAGACTTGTCAAATACGGCAAGCATGCCGAGCTCTGGCCGGAAAAGAAAGCCGACGCCGCTAATTCCTCCGGCGAAGCTGCCATTGATACCAAGGCGAAGGTCGCCTCCGCCACCGCGGTGCCTAAAACGGAGAGGAAGCTTCCGAATACAGAGAAGCAGCAGCAAACCGAAGAGGACAAAAACAAAACCACTCCGCCCCCAACCACGGAAGCGAAGCCGACCGATTCAGCCGCCGCTGCAGCTTCCGCTGCTATGTCCGGCGCGTTTAGTGCTTCTGAGCCTAATACTGATGCTCCTAAGCCCAACGAAATGCCGGAAAATTCTGATAAGAAAGACAGTGATAAGCCAGCCCCCGCCGCCGTTGAAAATGGTTCTAGCGAGGAAGCTGATGACTTGAAGAAGAAGGGGAAAAAAGCGCAGAGTGAGACAAGCAGCATAGATGAAGGTGCGGTCGCCGACACTGCTAAGCTTGGCAACGCCTCGGCCGCCGCCATTAGTCCACCAAAACCAAAGCAATTTCCAGCTTACCCTCAACCAATCTACAGTGTGAGTTATAGCGCAGTGCAGCCAAGCACGAGCCACGCCTATTACACGTCCTCTCCAGCTGCGATGCCTTCGAGCTACACATACTCTGGCTACCCGCCTGAAAATTACTCGTTGGATCCGTACTATGGTTCGATGGAGGCGCCGGCGGCGTCTGGGGGATCTTATGACATGTTTAATGATGAGAATCCTAACGCGTGCAATCTTATGTGAATCCATGCCGGTAGGAGTTTAAGATTTCGATCTCTTTCCTGAGTTTCTGCTAAGTTTATACTGTTTGTGTAAGCCGGGCCTTTGCGTGTTTCGAGGTAGGTTTGAATTTTGAATTTTGAAAGAGAGCATCATTTTGTTTAGATTAGTTGCTGTGAATCTGAACTAATGGAGCTTTTGGAGGTGAGCAGAATCGGAGGTATAAAATTCGAATTTCTAGTAGAAAATCTATGCAAATTTTATCAAAAGGGTATTTATTGAAATTTATTTAGATAGCTATGTCGAAAATTGGTACTTATTATCCAATATTTAACCTGACTGAAAATCAGATCCGAATCTGATCAAAAAATTTGGTGTTAAGATCAACACGTTTGACAAATCGGTTGGGTTCGGATATCAAATTTTGACACGTTTGAAAAATTGGGTCAAATCCGGGTCAATTCGCTAACCCAAAGTTAACCTAGTTTTACATGTCTCATCGTCAGTCACACCTACATGACCGCTTCCTACATAGCATAGCGACACTGGCCGGGAAGTACAAGCTTGAGAAAGCAAGATCAATATCTTTATTTCATCATCTCTTCCTCATCTCTCCTTTGTGAAGAATGATAGGTCTATTTATAGTTTTTTAGTAGTGGCATAGCCAATAAATAAGGAGAAGATCAAGAGCATGTTTGGAGTATTTTAATGGACGGTCGATATCAACTCCCTTGAATATGGATCATTTCTCAAGTCTTTTAGTATCTTAATGATATCAAAATTCAACAATATTGGGTTCATTGGATTAGTTTCATCAAGCCGCTCGATTCGGCTATAAACATATCTCATTTTGATATCATTTGATCAACTAATTAATGTTCCGAAGCTTTCAAATTGCGCCCTCAATTTGGACCCATTTGGGTTTGGATTCGGTCTATTTTGGTGTTGTTGGGTTTGTCTCTTCATGATGTTTAGCTTGACTATAAGCTTGCATTTGGAATTCTCCCAATTTGAGCGAATTTTGGGATATTTCAAATCCCCTGCATAAATACATTGTATTTTATTTACTTCAAAAAATCTACAGTTTCTTCACCTTATACTTGTATTACTTTCAATCAAACAACCCCTAAATGTTCTAACTTTTCTCTAAGTTTTAAAATTTCCATGTACCATAAAATGCATTTTAGTCTAATGAGTACTCATTTACATTAAGAATAATGACATACTCCCCCAAATAAATCTATGCATAGACTGTGTGTTATAACAATTAGGATCACCTACCATATAGTTTATTGATATTACCTTAAAACTCTAGATAGAATTTTAAAAGTTGAATCTAAGAAAGAATCTATGGAATATTTTCCCATATATACTACTCTTTTAGGATACTCAACTTTAAAAACATGGGTTCATAGACTTAAAATAATTAGGTGAATTGTTTAAGAGTTTGTTTGGGATCGTTGTAATTTTTTATAAATGTGGTTGTAAATAGCAGTTTCAAAATCAGGTTGCGAGTCGTGTTCGGGTTGAACTCGGTATTCATCCGCTACTATTTGACAAGAACCGAACCCAACATGTTTTTGTAAGAAATTTCAACCAGAACTGACCCATCAAGTTTCCGGGTTAACCCGATCCGACATGAAACACATGTGTGACTTGCAAGATTTGGCCGAAGAAGCAGCCCAATGGGAGAAAATGGTTACCTTCGCAATGAGGGAGCTCCCTCCCATCGTCGTCGTTACTTCCGATCCAACAAAAGAACGGGGAGTTGTCTTGACTTTCGACTCGACAAGAAGGAACATTGTCAAAGTAGAACACAGCACGCGTGCGGGTGTGCGAAAGCAGCGAAAGTGAGAGAAGAGGAAAAGAAAACCCTGTGTCGAGTGCATGCGTACTGGAATGAAGTGCATCATGCAAGCCATGCAAGCGGGCATACGAAAGTAGCAGAAGCGGGACTGTGCTTGAGCAAGGGAATTGGGTCAGACCTTGATCAACTTCGGGTTAGCGGGTTGACTCGGACCTGACCTGATTTTTCAAATGGGTCAAAATTTGGAACTCGAACCCTACTCATTTGCCAAACAGGTTGACCCTAACACGGAATTATTGGGTCAAGTTTTGGTCAGGTTTTCGAGTCGTATCAAATATTAAAACCCCTAGTTGTAAAACTGTTGTGGAGAAAATATTTTTTTTTAAGTTATTGTTAAAAGTAGTTTCATTACGCAAACATTTATTGAATGCAGTAGTCAAATATAAATAATAATTATGATCTGACAATAAAAAAAGTAAGAAAATTATCTCAGACTAAAACTAAATTATCATTTTTTTTATGACTAAAACTACGTTATTTAGTATGCCTACTAACTCTTTAATTTATAATTTGTTTTGGGATTTGAGAGTATTCTTATGAATCACATGAGAATGAAGGAGCTCCCTTAGATTGAAATCTTGAGCTGAAAACTGTAAAAAACCAAAGGAAAAAAAAAAAAAAAGCAACATCTATGGATTACAATCAAAAATTGTTATTTAATTCTAAAGTGAAATCATATTGGAGGAATATGAGATATTTATGGATATTCTTAAGGCCTTTTGTTTCTCATATGAGTTTATATTTCTCTCCTCTTCAATTTTCATCATAATTAAAGATTAAAAAGTAGAACATTTTTTTTATTATTCAATTTATTATATTTATTATTTTTTTAAAGATATTCTGATTAAATAATATTCAATCATTTGAAATGATTAGGGTTATTTGGTTCTAAGAAGTTAAAAACTAAATGTATTTAAAATAAAGCATAATTGAATTATTTTAGTGCGTTTGAAATTCTTAGAATCACTTTAATGCACTATTTGATTGAAAAATAATAGAAATAAAAATTAAAAAATAACTTAGAGCAGAGCAATCAAGATCAATGGATCATGACAGAGCTTGTTGAGATGGAATTACAATGGAGCTCGCTGGGGTCAATAATGTGTGATGGCCAGGTCGAAGTTAAATAAGATCACGACAGATTTCATCGAGATCGATAGTGTATGATGGCAGATAAGAAGGTTATTAGAATCTCTAACAAGTCGAGATAGAGGCCAAGGATAGTCAAGCCTATGTAGAGGGCAGAGTCGCACACAAAACTTTGATATCATGGGGGTGAGGCTTTCCAGTAGGGGTGTCAATTTCGGGTCATGAGTCGGGTTCGAGTCGAATCCGAAACTGACCTGGCTCTATTCGGGTCAACCCGAATCAGACTTATTTTAAAAAACGGGTCGGTTTTTCGGACCCGAACCCGATCCGCTTCGGGTCCAGGTCAACCCGACACGACCCGAATGACCCATTTCCAACAAAAAAATGCTAATTTTTTGGTCAAAAGCGGGTCAATCTCATCTTTTCGGGTCAAAATCGGGTTGCCGAGTCAAAAATTGGGTTTTCAGGTTAAAAACGGGTCACTTTCTGGTCAATTTCGGGTCAAAGGGTTAACCCGAATCCTACTCGATTTTTGAAATGAGTCGAAATTTTGAACCTGAACCTGACCCGTTTCGAGTTCGGGTTGACCCTAACCCGAAATTTTTTGATCGGATTCGAGTCGAATTTTTAGATCGTGTCAAATATTGACACCCCTACTTTCGAGGGAGTTTCAAGACCATTCAATTGTGTTTGTGGAAATCATAAATATTAATCCAAGAAATTTCAAATATATCAAAAAATTATATATATATTATTACGTGCAAATAACAATTTATCCTCTGGCTCAAGCGGAAGGCTCAGAAGCCCCATCTTTTCATCGTCATATCCGTTACTTTCCAAAGATCACCTCATCAAAACTTCTACGCAAAGGCCAATATCAAAGATGGCAATTTGGGAATATCAACGGAAAAATGATTAGGCTAATGTGAAAATATGTGAATGATTTAGACTTTTATCAATAAAATTTATAAAAGATTATTTTTTTTTTAAAGTTTTTTAATAAAAAGTTTTGTTCTTCTGCCAATATGAGTTTGAACAGTGAAGATTAGTAAAAAAAAATCAATTAGCATGGGTTCTGATTAATTTTGAACCAAAATTATTGTTGAATGATAAGCTAAAGTTGATTAGCACGGGCCTAGCTTATCGAGTTTCAAGCTTGAGCAAAATTTTCAAGCTCGTTGAATTATCAAGCTTGAGTTCAATCCAGCTGATATTCTACTCGATTATTGAAGGGGGCGAGAATGTGGGATCGCATGGCAAGAAGGCAAAATCGTAAGCAGGCTCGAACGGGGGTCCGAAGCAAAACTAGAGCTCAAACATGGGACATGGCGCAGAAGCGGACGTGAAATCGAACTCGAACTGCAAAATTAAGCCGCTCGACGAGCTTGTTTCAGTGGAACAAGCTGAGCTTATGCTTAACTCGAGCTCGACTGAACTCGTTTGCACCCCTAATTCAGAATAAGGTTTCGTTTAAGATAGTGTTTTTACTACTTTTTAAAACAATTTTTTTGTACAATAAATCCTTGAATTAAAACTTTTTATGCTAGAAAGCTGCTTTCTAAAGCAGCTTTTTAGTTCCAAATTTTGTTTAAAATAACAAAAAATAATGATCTAAAGTTGTTCGAAATGATCGAAATCTAAATTTGAATTGAACTTTAATTCTATATTGGAGGAAACATATATTTAATCATTAAACATATAATTAGCTAGATTTGATTAATGTTAGATTTCAACTTGAACTCAATAAGAAAGTTAATAAGCATAAAGAAGATTTCAAAACTCCGATCATGGTTAAGCTCGGCTCGAACTTCATAAGAAAATAAATCAAGAAACATGAACACTGTAGTTCTCAACTTGACTCGGATTTATTAATAGCCTTAAGAAGGACAACTCAACCTAGCTAACTCACCTACCACAGGCTGAGTAGACCGAGTCATCTCAGCCATTCAACATGTTAACTCGCTTGCACTCAGCCAACCTTAGTGAATCTGACCAACGTCGATCTTCACAAGAATCTACTCCTTAATAAAAAAAATTATTATGTGCATTTAATGTAATTAAATAAGTGCAACATGCAATATCCATATTATTAGCATGCCTTTATTTTGCTTTGCCATGCAATTCACTTGCTTGCCTTAAATAATAATATCTTTTATAGTTATGTCCCTTCAACCCCGCATATAAATAGGAAGTCGAAAGTCAAGTTTGTGGTACATGAAATTTTTGGTACAAGACATACGCTCTCTACTAATACAACAACAAATCCCAGATCTACTCTCTCTTCTTTCTCAAGAAATTATTCTATGCGGATAC